TGTGTAGTAGACACAATGATTTCACTCATATTCATAGTAAAATAAAAGAGGAACAGAAGGGCAGACAAAGGAGCTAACAAAGTATTTGTGAGAAATATAAAGCAGAGCCATGGTCACTGTCACTGTCCATCAATTTGCTTGAGCGGGCCCAATAACCTTGTGAGACTTTGTTGTTACTTTCTTTGGCATATCGAATACGTCACGGGTAGCTTGCCAGGCTTTGCCGTGTGGGCGAGATACTCTCGGTAGCTTACCAGCCTCTCCGAGAGGGGCAAGGGAATTGAACTCAGGTCGGCCGTGTGCCACATGCAAGACAAACGCCCTACCCCCTTTGCTGTAGCTCCAGCCCTGGTATTTTAGTGAAAAAAGTACATAGACTCTGGAGGCAGGACCCAATGTTCAAGTTCTGGCTATTTAACTTATCATAAGTACAACTTTGGCAAGTTGACTTACTTCTCTATAGCTCAACTTCTTTGCCTATAACAAAAATATGTATTTTGTAAGAGTATTTTGGTAAACAGTGACAATATATTTTATTTCTGTTTAATGTTTTTATCATAAAATTTTAAAAATTGTCATTATTCCCTGTGAGAAAATAAAGAGACACTGTAAATACACATAAAGGAATCAGATACCCAGAGAAAATATGGAAATAAGTATAACTTTTTAAAAATAAGAAATTATTGGTGAACTTTAAAGTCACTTTCAATCAAACGGTGAAAAGAGTCACTATTTCCTAAAATTGTTTCATGAAGAAAAGAGGCTGATTAGGGAAAAAGTTTAAAAATGGAGTGTAGAATCTGCCTGTTTGAAATTTTGTATATGCTAATGAAAAAAGTACAAGTTAGATGGAAGAGATTCAGTTAAACTCGTATTCTCAGTAATAAGTGTTTTATATTAAAGAATAGATGAATTGGAGATGTTAAATACAAATGAGATCATCAGTGGAGCAAGATGACTCAGGTGGTGGAAAGTACAATTTGATGTTCCAAGGGCCCACCTTATGAAAAGCAGGAAGTCTGAGTAAATCACTTTTGTTTACAGTGAAATGAATGAGAAAATGGAAAACTGTAATTTGGAAAACTGAAAAACGTTGAAATGAAATCGACTGTAGTGAATAAGGAAATTCATTCTGAGAAATCATGATTTCATTCATGAAGAATAAACAAATAAGCTGAAAGAAAGATGAAATGGGGAATTGAAGTAAATTAATAGTGGGAAAGTTATTAGTAAAATGAATTCTGAAATAAGAATTTCAGAAAGTCTTTGAACTTGGACGTAAGTGTAAAATAAGACTAAGTGGTTCCAGATCATCTGACAGTGAAAAAGGGAGAAAAAATTGTTAGGATGAAAAACTATAAGTGACAGTTGCGTATTTTATTATTTTATTCTTTATTTCATACAGAGCGGTGCATAAGTGTATTATTGAAGAGTACTCAAAACAGTGCTTTGAAGAATTGCTTGCTTGAATAATGTTAGTCAGTTAAATAATATATATTTTAAGTTGCAGTTGAGATTTGTTTAAGGCTGTTCACTATGCTTACGCATATAAGAAGTTTATGACATATATTAAACATATTAAATATTTTCTTGGAAATAAGCTGATATATATATATATATATAGTTTATATATATAGTTTGTTATAATAATCTCTGGTCCAGCAAAACTGTCACATATTAATGGAATACACCTATAATTTGTAATATCTCTTTAAAATTCTTATTATTGAAGCTTAGCTTTCTATATATATGTTTATATAAGATATATTTTTGGATTTTGAAGTTTTCAAAATTAGTTATATTCCAGGGATCGCTATTAGAAAATTATGAAATTCTTTGAATATTTCTGAAATTAGTAATCCTGTTTTTAATGTTTAAAGTTGAATCTTTAGTGATTCAATATAAGTAAGTAATTTTTTTCCCATTTGAAAGAATAGTCGGTTTGCTCCAGTAGGCCCAGTAACATTGTGAGACTTGTTGTTACTGTGTTTGGCGTATCTAATACGTCACAGGTAGCTTGCCAGCTCGAGCAAGTTGACGAACAATGGGAGGACAGTGCTACAGTACTGCAGTTGAAAGAATAGTGCTAAAAAGAAATGTGCCTTCATAATTACTACTTAAGAAATACAAAAAAAATTAGAATAATGTGGACTCAAAATTTTGTTTATAATAAATATTTTAATACATTGTTATTGATATTAACTTAATTACATCTTTATGATGTACGTAAGAAACTTTACTAAGTGATTTTACTTGAAACTACTAAACTTTAAGTGTAGGTAGTAAATAGGAGTAAGTATTTTGTTTATGAAATATTAGGGTAACATTCGGTTTTCTCGTGGATATTTCTCATTTATGTGGCTGAGGACAGCTGTCAAAAACTTTTTCTTAATCTAATATTAAAACTTGTGTTGGTATTACTTCAATGTGTTTATATTGATCTGTTTATTAGAAGAATTTTTATTCTGGTACTTTAACAAATGAACTGACATGCAGAATTTCTGAAATCTAATTGTTAGGAGGTAGATTTGTAAAAGATAGATGACTTTTGTGATTAAGTCACTACCATAATTACTAGATTGCTAAAAAATTTTCAAGTATTTGTTTTACTGCATATTATTTTAAAAGCTTAATCCAAGAAAATATTTTGAGTCAATGTAGCGATTACCTTTTGATGATAATAACTTAAGCCTAAGCTTAATCTTTTCCTGTTTAAGATAAAATTCTAACTTCTTGTGAAAACTTTAAAGATTTTAAACACATTAATATTGTCCCAGAAAATTTTTTATGAGAAAGAAATAGCAGCATAATTATTTAGGACAATGTTGATGAATGTGTGAACTGCGTGTGGTTAATATATAACCAATATTTCATATGTATGTCAAACAAAACAATTTAATAAATTAACAGATATCAATAATCAAAGTGACTACAAATTCTGAATTTGATATTACTAATTTTTCAACATAGTACCTTTCAGTACTAGTTTAAAGCCTTGTTGAGGATACATATCTAAGGAAAAGTGGGTATCCTAGTGAATCTGTGACTGTTCAGGTTGATTTACCATAATGAAAAGAAAAGAATCACCATACATACCTTGTGTTTCTGATGGCTAATTGCCTGTATTTTAACTTACAGTGGGTAAAATAACATTTAGATTTATTTCATATTTATTTAATCAGCAGCCTTATAATCTAAGATCAGTACAGAAAAGAATTTTTAATGTACCTACTGAAAATAAAAACTCGGACTAATTATATGTAGTAGTATTTAGTCAGTAGTGTATGTTCCAGCATAGTATCGCTCATTAAAGAAAATATTAACAGGCTCAAAAAATAATACAGTGGGTAAGGTTCTTGTCTTGCACGTTTCTACCCCAACTTCAAAGTCTGGTGCCATATATGGTCCCCTGAGTATAGAGCCAGGAGAAAGCCATGAGCACTACTGAGTGTTGCCCAATAAACAGTAAATCAATTAACTAATTAAATAATTAGATAGGTTTAAAAACTAAAAACTGGAACCCTTTCTAGTTAAATGACAGGAATTTGTTACAGAAAGCACACAAAAAATACTAAAGCTTTTTAAAATGTTCGTTTTTATGAGGTCTTATATTTACGTGTAGCCCCGTCCCTTTTTAACAAAAAAATAACGTTGATTTTAACAGTATGACTTAACATTTAAGTGAAAGATTTTCTTCAAAATGTCTTGGGTTTTAATTTAAGAACCTGTAATCACTTGAGGTATGGACTGTAAAGCATGATCTGATGTTAAAAATCCAATCTTACTTTGTGACTGGGGAAACAAATAGGGTAAGTGGAAGTTGGTGAATTTATCTTTTCTTTTAACTGTGTAGTCATATCCAAATTTGAAAATCTTTGAAAACCTTAACTATTTATCTACTTTTCCTGTTGCCACTGAACCTTTAAAGTTATGCTTTTGCTCATATCTGAATAATATTTCAGTATAAAACACAGCATTCACTTATAGTTTTGTCTAAAATATAAGATAATCCTATTTCACCTACTAAGTAGTATTAATCATACACACTGGTTTTTAAGCATAGTTATTTGCTGAGTGAAAAATCACACTCTTTAAAGAAAAGAAAATCAACATTTATACGTTAAGGGTATTAGAAATGAGACTTTCTAAATATCTTATTGGATTGTTCAAGAAAATTATGGTCTCACATAATTTATTTTATGTATGTGTTTCAAAATGACATGAACAATAAAAAATTTTCCTAATATTTTTGTGCTTGTTTCTAACACAGGTTGATGATGCTACAATTCATTATACCATTCATCTATATTAGAAGTTTAGTGCTTAGCATAAATAATAAAACTATTTTATCAACTGGTTAAAATGCTGTTTTCTGTTTATTAACATGAGGTTAACGCTTACATTTTCAGAGGAGCTCTAAGTTTATTAAAATTAATATTTTAGAAGATAATGTGATATTAAGAACTCAACTTCAAATTTAATTACTTTTAAGTATGGATCCCTAAATTCATGTGGAATCAACTTGTTGGTGATGTTCAGCATATTAAGTAGGTAGATACTTTTATGCCAAAGTAAACTTCATTTCACCACTTCTTCCAATCCCAGACTGTATTCATTGATAGAAAAATAACTTGATTCTGATAATTACTTGATTATTTGACCTTCGTTTGATATCTCTTTCCCCAAGTGAAAAAGAAAAGAGGGAAAGAGACTGCTATTCATGAATATGGTCAGGGTACCTTTAATACTCATGTGAATTTTTATCAGTCACCACCATGATTTCAAGTCATGAATTTATTTTTACATGCTTATGCATGCGTATTTACGTGCATTAATTACTCAGTTGATGTTAAATTCCATTAAGTTTGAACAAGTAGGGCAAAAATTTGTTCATAGGATTTTGTTCTCGTTATATTACATTTTATTTTATTTTGTTTTATTTAAATACTCAGTTTAAGGCTTATAAAGGTTGATTTGCTCCTGAACTGCTTTGTTCCCAGACATTGCCATCTTCCCCAACTACCACCAAGTCCTCTCCATCTGATCCCATGACCACCTCCAGAGCTAATCAGGTACAGTATCATCCTGTCATCTACACCATACTTTTCACGGGTGATTGCCTGCACACTGGAAAAAAAGATAATGGTGGGTTAAGGATGTGTTCGTTCATTCACATATGTGTGCCATGATCAGATTCCAACAAACCAGAGAAAGGATATGAATTATTCCTGAGCATTTATATGCATTTTTAACTTTAGTTAGCAGAAACATTCAGATAGTAGAGTACTGAAATTTGAGATTTTCCACTTAAAATTTGATGAATACGGAGCACTACAATCATTTATTGAGTTGGTGTTTGTAATCTCCCTTATTGTTTCTTTCCAGGATTGTGGTATACAACTCAAAATCTATATGTACACCAAATTAATGTGTAAAATAGTACTTATTGAGCAAAGGTATAGCTTTAAAAGTGAGTGCATTATATTTGTTATTTTATACATGCCTTACTGTGTAAAACCTTTCCATTCTTTAGGACCAGCATTTCTAGCTATTTAAAAGTAACTGAAAATTGATGTTTGGGAGTGTCTTAATACCTTTTAAAAATTAAGGAGAAAATATTTTCTAAGAATTTGATATCAGCCATTTATTGGGGGTCGCAAACTTTACAATTGCAAAAATATATTTTATTGATTTGAGTTGGAAGTTGTTTTGATACTAATACACTTACCGGTTTTTCTTCAGAAATATTTATTTTCGGCACATTTAAAGGAATCATCAAAAAATAATTTGTGGAACTAAGATCCAGAATGTACTTTAATTTGACAAATGTTAATGAACATATATTCATTAAATAATTTAAAATGGTTTTATTTTGTCTGATTTGAGCTTTTATTTAGGTGAAAATGTGATTTTCTTTAATATTTTCCAGCTTTTACTAACATAAGACTTCATGGGACTATATAACTATTTTATAATACCATGATTTTAGCAGTTTTTTTAATGTAGTTGACGAATAAACTATTTACATTTAGCTATACTTGCTAACTATATTGAATGTGTCTTTTACCTATGGTCTAATGTAAGGCTTTAAGTTATATTTTTCATTCACTAACTGCCTTTTGCAATTCCAGTAAAAATTTAAAAATCTTAATTCTAAGAAAATCTAGAATCTAGGATGTTATTATGTAGTTGAAGCTTGATTTTCATTTTATACATTTATTAGCCTTCAGACATAAATATGCCAGAAAACTTACATTTCAGACCAAATTTCTTTTGAAAAACACTCATCTCAAGCCAGTAAGCTAGTATAGGGATTCAGATTTTTGCCTTACATGCAGCTTACCCTGGTTCATTCTGTGACAGCACACATGGTGCCCGGTGCACCATCAGGAGTGAAACCTGAGCACAAGCCAGAAGTCAGATCTGAGCACCACCACCATGTGTGGTCCAGAAACAGACAGGGAAACAAAAATACATCTCTCCAGAAATGAAACCTAGGAGTCTGAAGGAAATGGTACTACATAATCAATCTTGTCTCAGTATGCATGATATTTTTAAAGTGTGTACACATTTCACTCTATATTAGCCTTTTGTCTTACATGATTTTGAACTATATGATATAGAAAACTATTAGGGAAAAGAACTGACTGTATGCGTTTAATGTCACCTTATAATTCATTGGTCTTTCTTTTCCAAGCAAAAGACAAATGAGTGCAACCATAAAAACAACAAAAACAGAACTGACGGGTTTTTTTTTCAAGTAAAAAGTAAAAATTTTTGGATCTTGAAAGACAAAACGTCAGAAATTTTCTATTTGAAATTAGTGTTGTATTTTCTTTTTATTAATTTGATACTAATGTGAATTTTAGAAATACGATAATGGCTAATGATGGGGTAAAGAAATAACTCAAATGGTAGTGCTCATGTCTAGCTTGTGTGAGGCCCTCAGTTATATCCATGGCACTACATGATCCCCTGAACATCGCTGCATGTGACCCTGGTGTCTTCTTAGTCTGCACACGACATTGCTGAGCCTGAGCACCTTACTAGTCAGGCCTACATCATCAAGATAAGTATCACTGGGATGACCTTAATTAATTAATTAAGCAAGCTAATTGTATGTTAAAAGCTGTTAATGCTATATTTTCACCTTCTAGTTACTGCATTCACCTCTGTCATATCTAATAGTTTTCTAATTTGAAGTAATGTCATTTGTGGTTTTATACTTCGTCCACTACACACAAGTTGTACTCATTAAATATATTCCATTATATTCTTCTTCATGTACAAACTCACATCAGACCTCCCAGATAGCATGAGAAGAAACACAAAAGAATAAAAGAAATCCTTAAATTTATACTAGGAATGATTTATTGTTCGTCTTTATTAGTAGTTTGTAACTATTTTATTCCTTAGTGTTTTTCCCAATAGAGTCTATTCATTTTGTAGACAGATGGTAATTTTTTATTGTTATTCTCTCAGACTTCTATAAAGGTCACAGTTATTTCTTCTATATAAACCAAATTGATTTAGCTTTGCTTTATTAACTTATATTTCTGTGACTAATCAAGATAGACTGTTTGCTTTAATACAATAAACTTAACCTTTTCATACTTAAAGTAGATTTTAAATTCTATAAGAAAATGGATTTCAATTTATTTATCGGCTTACCTAGCAATTTAGTAGATACATCTCTAATTATATAACTCAGTAATGTTTCAAAGCCACAGAATTCTGTTTTAGATCAAGAATTATGGGTCAGAGTGACAGTACAGTGGGTGGGCCTGTGCCTTGCACATGGCTAGCACAGGTTTGATCCACGTATTGTCCTCCAGGCACCATCAGGAGTTACCCTTGAGCACAGAGCTAGGAGTAAGTCCTGAGCACTGCCAGGTATGGCTTCAGAACAAAATAAGAAACATGCTATTATATGTAATAGGTAAATGACAGCTTCTGTCAAAAGTAATTAAAAATTTTTCATGTGAAGTGTTGTAAACCACCAGAAAATACACCCCAGTAACTATTTGATTTATTTTTATCAGTATTAGCTAAATGAACTAGGATTGAGTTCTATTTTTTCCTAATACAAGCCAACATGATAAAAATATACAAAGATACTCTAAATTTCTAAAATTCAGAAAACTCTTTAATGAACATATCAGATATTTTTATCTGTACTTCTAAGAATTAACTTCTCTATTCTTTAAAATCTGCTTTGTTCTTTAAAAATAATGGCATTTCAGTATACTTCTATTTAAGTACCCACAGATCAGACAACCTAACATGTTTCCATGGGTTAAATTTATATACTGTAAATACAGTGCTATAAGTCTCTAATAAATTTGTCCTTAAAATTGAAGGACAATCACATGGGAATGCTTAGAGGATAATGGTTAAAGTTTCAAGTGAAGCCAAATTGCCTATGATTGAGTAAATTCAGGTGCTGCCACTTACTTGCATATTAAATTGAGCCTTGGTTTCTTCTTCTGTGAAATTCAGATAATAACAGCAGCTCATAGGGTTGAAGTAAGAAGGTTTAATTTTATTCTTAGAGCATGAAAATATCTAGAATGTAATACCCATTATAAAATGTAATATTTTCATTTACTTCATTTTTTCTGATCTTTCAAGTGGTAACAGGAGAGAAAGATGATTCTTTAAGATGATAAATAGTCTACCCCTTATAGAAACTGAGTTCTCTAAAGATTCTGAAGGTCATAGTTTTTGCTTTTTGAACTCTTTAAAATAAAAGCATGAGTTAGTTCAGATTACTCTACACTTATTTTCTTTACTGCATATCATGTTGCTTTTATTTTCCCACTGAAGAAGAAAAGTAACAAGTAGGGCTATTAATTTATACTTTTTTATGTTGTTGCATATTGCTAGGTTGAGTTTGAAATGTTATACATAAGGAATTTTAAATATGCAAATATTAAGATACAATAAATTGATTAAGTAATATACATAAAACTTTAAGAAAACTTTGAAATATAAACTATCATTTGTGGTGGATCAATTACAGGTTATTGATACTAAATTGTTGTCACTTTAAGATTTAAAAAATATTTTGTTAATCTATGTTAAAATATTATATTACAGCCTTAACTTTAGGATTTTGATATGGGTTCTTGTATTATTCTCAATTTCAGAAGAAGAAAATAAAGGGATTTCAGATAAAATATGTATAGACAATAACTTATTTACTGTTAAAATATGAAATTATATCATAGAAATCTGGTAAGATTATAAAAGAAATGAAAATGGGTTACTCGGAGAACACTCTTGCTGTAGTTACAGAAAACCACAAGTTAAAGCTCATTTTACATTTATGACCATTCATCTCAAATAGATTTTGTATTCTGTTAGATATCATATGGCTCATTCACATTTTCACTCTCTGCATGAATATTTTATAATTTCTGCTTCCTGCTACCATACTCATTTTTTGTTGCTGTGTTAACAAAGTACTCCAAAATTGGTAATTTACTGCATACTTCTGTTGTTGTGTTAACAAATTACCACAAATTTAGTGACTTACTAGATGCAGCAGATATTTATTACCTGCTAGTTTCCAAGGGTTAAGGGCTTACACACTTTTTTGGTGAGTCTTGTGTTCATGGCCTTATAGAATGCAAAAACGGTCTCAATTAATACTCATTGTTTTATACAGGCTCAGCTAGGTACTACTCCACTTCAGGTTCATCCGGGTCAATAGCAACATTCATTTTCTTGAATCTATTTGACTGAAGGTCTCAGCTTCTTACTATCTGTTTGCAGGAAGTACCCCTCAAATAGAGGTGGACCAGATTCACTGCCACATGATCTTTTCTATAGGCATTTCAATCAGTCAGCTGTTTGCTTCATGCAAAACCAACAGAACTTCTCTTCAGTGTAGCACTGTAGCACTGTCCTCCGTTGTTCACCAATTGACTCAAGCAGGCCCAGTAATGTCTCCATTGTGAGACTTGCTGTTAATGTGTTTGGCATATCGAATACATCACAGGTAGCTCGCCAGGCTTTGCTTGCAATATGGAGTCATAGATTAAATCTAGTCACAGGAGTGATTTCTCGT